CCCTCCTCCCTGCCACATGGTGTCCACCTCTTCCTCATCATGAGTCCCTCAGGGCCACAGATCACTCTGGGCCTGTCTCCCGCTGATGCTCAATCTCTGTCCCCTCTTACATGGAGCTCTGCATGTACAGACACATCCTGGATGTTCTTGCTGCTGTCAGTTCCCTCAACTGAGATGTCATCTCAGCCACCACGGGGGTTCAGGGAACGGTCCTGCTGCAGCAGCCTTCTTCCTTTCTTTCTTCTCTGGGACTCTTCTCCTCCTCTTCCCCTCTTTCTTCTCCTCCTCTTCCCCTCTTTCTTCTCCTCCTCTTCCCCTCTTTCTTCTCCTCCTCTTCCCCTCTTTCTTCTCCTCCTCTTCCCCTCTTTCTTCTCCTCCTCTTCCCCTCTTTCTTCTCAGGGTAATGTTCTTTTGTTCTCCTCTAACCTCCTCCTCCTCCAACAGAAAAAACTCCTGAATATCAAAGACAGGACAGCTCAAGACAAGAGAAACCAAAAGAGAGAAAAAAAGAGCAGTGGGGTCACCTCTTGAATACCTTGATGGCAGAGGTGCTGACTGGCCTGGCCCTGGCCAGAGGCAGGTCTGACTCCTTCCTGGGCATGGGGGAGGCTCTCAAAGCTTCACACAAGTCTACTTCCACTTTTAAAAAAAACACCACCAGACTCAAACCCATGACAATTGGTCAGTCTAATTCTGAAAGATAAATTGATCACATTTTCAATAAGTCAAATTGCTAAAGTGGTCCTGTTGTCAATAGATATATTAATTTTCTTTGACGTAAATTGGATTTTTCTCAGCTATGCAGTGCATCAGAGTTTTTGATTAGTTTAGGTGTTTGCAGAATTAACTAAAATGGAAAAGTAAGAGAGTATCTTTCAACTTCTGACTAACCATGATTTTCCCTTTCATTTTATCTTAACCACTGGGAGCAATCTGCTGTTCGTGTTGGAGAATTCCCAGTGATACTGTCTTTATAAGGCCTTCATTGAGCGTGGCAAGGGCATT